ATTTTTTAATTATTTAAATATTCTAACTTTTCATATTTACAAATTTTTACATGCCACTGAATTTTCGATTAAAGCTAGAGAGAGAGAGAGAGAGAGAGAGAGTGAGAGATAGAGATAGAGATAGATAGATAGATAGATAGATAGATAGATAGAGAGAGAGAGAGAGATTAACCTGCAATGGAAGCTTCGTCGCAGGAACCACTGAATCTAGGATAGCGAGTCGAGGTGTAGAACGGAGAAGATGTGGGGTCGATTGCGTCGTGAGATATGGAGAACAAATGTGCCGGCTGTGAGATAGAAACGATGATAGAGTTATGTTGTGAAATGAAACAAATGTAATAACGTAAAATGACACTTTCTTACATAGTAAGAAATTAATTTCATCATCTTTATTAAGAAATGTGTTTTACCCCATTTGATGAAAAAAAAAATTCATTTAGGATTCCAATTCCATCATACAAAGTTGAACCAAACACTGAAATGTGTTAGAATTTGATTTATTTTCCCTCGAATTTCATTCTATTCCAGCGAACCAAACACATCCTAAAAATGCGAAACAATCTTTTCGGAGACGAAAACCACAAAAATAATTTCAAAACACTGATGCAAGTTGAAATCTTTTTAATCTCCATCAATACTTTAGCAAAACACACGGACAAAGTTGTAGTCTACTCTATTACTCATTAGGGTTCCAAACTTATTTATTGACCCGACTTGACCCATGTTTTAAACAGTGGCGTAACCAGGATTTTATTTTAGGGTAGACCAAATAATATACAAAATATGAACGAGTGGCAAAATTCTTCAAACGATAATAAAATGTAATTATATATGCATTCTTAACTAAATTGTTTATTTGAAGTTGCACACGATGTTGTCTTATATTATTAAAATAATCTAAAATGGAGTCTAATCAACATAGACAATAATGTATTTATCTTCTACTAATTTCAAGTTTTGAAAGGAATAGTCATATCACAACCCTAAGTCCTTTTATTTTATAAAAATATATATTATACATACCATTGTTATCTTTCAATCTCACACTTGCATAAGACTCTTGCCCTATATTGGCTACATGATTTTAAACCTCTTAAGTTTATCTAAAGTTTGGTGATTATAAATATTGAATCGCCCACCTAAACCTTAACACAGGTTCAAGTGATGAGGTAATCACATGGGAATTGTTCTGGTTCAACATACCCATATAACTACTAAACCCACTTCTACCAACTCTCTTAACTTCATACATAAAAACATGCACTCAAACTGAACCAGATCATCGATCAAACAGTACTGAAACACTATGGCAGATCAAGAAACCACAGAAAACCCTACTGCCACACGAATCAAACAATCAATTTCAGTTCCTTTTCTCTGGGAAGAAAAGCCAGGAACACCGAAACCAGGATGGAAACGCGTTAATCCCATCATGCAACTGCCTGTTAAACTGATTGCTTCAATTCCGTTTACATGGGAAGAAAAACCAGGAACACCACTACTTACTCCTTTTTCCCACACCAAGATTATCATGCCTTCTTCTTCACCACGTCTGCACCACCACAGCAGAAACAACCCGTTTTGCGATTCGGATTCTGATCTTGAACATCAGGAACTTCATGTTTCGGAACCTGAGCTGGGAATCATTTACTCATCACCAAAACACCATAAAAACAATCCGTTTTGCGATTCTTCTGATGACGAGCTTGAAGAAACTGAAGAATTTGAACATGGTGAAATGGCAGAATCGAAATCCGATAACAGTGGCTACCTTCAAGCCCCTTCATCGCCAGCTTGGGAAACCGAGAGTATGGCAAGCAGCTGTGCGACTGGTACAACAACGCTAGCTGGATCATCGTTCTTGGAATGCATGTTTCCGCTTTTGACCCCGAAAGCTGGTTTCTTTGAAACCGTTGGTGGTTCAGTAAATAGGGCTCCACCAACGAATTCTTGTACTCAGATTGTTAGCTATGCTGCTGAGAGTAAGCCATTGACACTTGGTGAGCTGATTATGATGAGCCGAAGAAGAAATTATCTCCAGAAAGTTGTCGAATCACATCAAAGCAATCATTCAACGGTAATTATATATCCTCGTTTTAAACATGTTGAATCATTGTTATCAATCATTTATTTTGATGGTATTAATATTACTTGCAGGAATTGATGATGAGAAATGGATTTGGATGTTGCATTGATGTTGGAGGACTGCAGAAATTGAAGAGGCAGCTGCAGCTAAAACTGATATAGGACTTCCATTGAACCACTTTGTTGATGTATGTTCGTATTTTTTTTTTTAAATGTTTCGTAATTTCAGAGTATATGTGATGTTGTGAAGTTGTACATCTATGGTTCCGTAATGCAAGTTAAAACAATTTGGCCCTTATTAAAGTATTAAGTCATGCATGCTATAATTAACACTACGTACAATATTAAGATATTGCTCCATAATCATTATATATGGTTCACATGTTTAGAGTAGGAAACAACATGAAAGTTGGATCAAAGAAAAAAGAACCTTCTCGTAACCAATGATCAAAATTGGCGAAAACATCAGTAACCAGTTGTTCATGTGTTAAAATAAACTGAACTTGCAAAATCACTTTTTAAGACCTTTTCCCTAACAAATTAATTTGGTTATGTATAACTACAATAACTACCAGCTATACCTAACTTAGTGGAGGGAGTGGTGAAAGACGGGTTGCGGGATGCCATATAGCTAGGTACCGCCGGTACGTAAGGAAAAACCATTCTACCCCTTCTGGTACCGCAAGAATTTGAAGCCGATGTGACTTCCTTAAAATGCCCAACCTTCAAAGTTTCTTTATTGGTTAGTTGTAATTTAGGTCATCTCCAATGGATTAAACCCATGGAGAGTTTAATAGATTGACATGTAGGAAAGAGAATATACACATTCAATTTAATTCTTAAAAAATTCATAAATTTTCATTACAATTCTATAGCATCGTTCAATGACCATTCAACTCCACACTCTCTCTCCTCTATGTTATATTCACATTTAATCTATTAAACCCTCATACAACTCCCATTGTGGATGACTTATGCTTGTATACTTGTACCAGAGTGTTTGGGTTAAGAGGATTAGGTTTTCACATGCTTAGGAATAGAAGGGTTGAAAGAGAAAGAAAATAGAAATATTGATATGACAATGTAGGTTGGAAGGGATGAGAGGGATGAACTCCCTCGACCAAAAGAAGTAAGAGCATCTCTAATAAAAGATCAATGAAAATGTCGAATTTTATCATGGATTTCAAAACTAACTTTTTACCATCGTTATAATGTACATATGAACTAAATGTTTTTTTAAGTTTGTCTTTAATACAAGTAACCACCCTCTTTAATTATAATCAATGATATTTCATTTTACTCATTAATTATATTGTTAATTTTAAATTTTTGTCATCTATTAACTATCTTTTTTAATAAATATTAAATAATATTTCATTTTAATGTTGAATTTTTAATTATAACATAATATTTCATATTAAATTCTTAAGTATAATATAATATTTTTGGTACTTTTATATCTATATATGTTAGAATTTATCATTCTTCGTATTTTTAGAAAAAAAAACTCGAAAATGTTTAATTTAATTTTCAAAATTTTCGTTTTAGACTTTATTATTTTAATTAAATGTTTTTGTCGTATAATATTTCATTTTAAAAAAATTAGCGTTTTAAAAAAAATGACAAATTAAGATGAGAATGTTTTGTAGTGCATTCCGTATAAATAATGATATATTAGTTAAATATAAAAAAAAACTTTTCAAAATGGTCAATGATTGGAGAATGTTTAAGTCAATATGTTTTTGTTTGATAAAATTAGTAGAAAAATGATATGACAAAACAAAAAACTATGTTTGAGGTCGATGATTGTGGATGTTTTAAAAATATTACTAAGACTAGATTAGCCATTCTATATCGTTTGAAACTGAATGTTTATCTAAAATATTGATATTATTATACTATCTCATACCAATGAAATCGTAATTAAGTGAGAGTCTACATGTTGCATTTTGTATCTTTCAGATTCGGTTTTAGAAACATTTATGATCATCGTAAGGACAAATAGTAGGTGCCAATTTGGTTGAGGCAGTGGGTTCGGCAAGGGCTCTGCAGATGCTGAAAAACCTCGGTAAACACCGCCCTGTCTACTTGGTGTGTAAACAACCCAACTCGATAGTTACTTGTAGAGTCTCTCCATTCCCTTATTCTTCTTCTTCTTCTTCTCCCCCACTCCCTCTTTTCTCATATCTTCTTCTCCCAACTTGGAAAATTAGAGCCCCTTCTTCTAGCAGCTGAGGTGGAGCCCGACATGTCCGAGACCACTCCCTAGCCCTAGGTGGCACGAGCTCATTGGATTAGCCATTGGTGTATATTGGCAAATATAAACCGGGTTAATAGACTCAAATTTTATTTTAATTAAAAGCGGTATTTATTTTGTTATAAACTTATAATATACATATAGACACGATTAATCTTGAAGGTATCCTTAAGAGTCTAAGAAAATGTATTTTTTTCATGTGCAAATGTTCACTTTTGTTTTTGTATTTTTTAATTAAGATTTTACTATTTCGAGTAAAATTAGACATATTAAAATAAAATTAATCTGAAAATGATTTAGTTGAAAAAAAAATCACAGATCCAAAATAAAGATATCGTCAATAAATGCTGATTTATTTACGTTTATAGCGGTAGTAAATGTTTTGACATATTTGTCAAAGTCAAAAGAAACTAGCGTTTCAAATGGGCCCACAGTTTGAAAAGGTGTTCTTGGCGCTAAATAACCACCGATGTATACATACGTGCCACCCTGTATCTATCCATCCTTCCATATACAGAAATCTCACCATTAATTGCAACATTTAGGGTTTCTTTCTCCTACGAATTCTCCAGAAAACCTTGTTTCACATGCTCTTCTGCGTTCTTCTCCATTCTCATTTCTCAAGGAGTGTTTGGAATAACTTTGGCGCCAGAAAATAATGGATGAAGTACAGGAGATGATGGAAGCTTTAGCTATAAACAAATCATGGTTCTATGAGTCTGTTGATCTTAAATACGAGTTCGATGCATGTCAGTTCTTTGATTTTTCTGTAGATGAAACGGATTACGATGTACAAGAAGCAGAACGCTGGTTTAGATATGCTCGTGAATATCCACCTGCTCGTAAGCACCTCAATGTCATAATTACTTAATTATCTTTCTGTTGGATTGTATTGCTACGTTTTTGTTCTGTGATTAGTGATACTGATAACGCATCAAAACATGCATTTATTTTTATGAATTAATCACTCTCTATCGTGCATGTTTGCTGTTTGATTTTGCTGATCGTATTTGGTATATATATATATATATATATATATATATATATATATATATATATATATATATATATATATATGTTATTAGTTCATCTTAAGGAGATGTTTTGTTTGTATTGGAGCTAAAAGTTGATGATTGATTGAATTTGGAGTAAATTGATTCGATTATTTGAACCATCAAGTTTCATTATGATCTTGAACTTTGAGCTATAATTTGGAGTAAACTGATTTGAACTTGTGTTTATATTGCAATGACTTGAGCTGCAACATGAATTGTCCCTCATCCCATTAAAGTCTACATATCATTTCTGAAAATGAAACTAGCACTTTTCAAGCTGAGATAAGAATTTCTGTATTTCGCGCCGAATTTTTAATTTTTGTAGATTTTATATCGTTATCAATTATTGCTCGAATAGTAAAGAAATCGATAGCGAATTTGGACATAATTAATGTAAAAACCTAAGGACGGATTCATATTTTCATAATAAAAGTATTTGTTTTCATGATTATATCTATTTGTTTATTGTCCTTTTAATCAACATAACTTCAGATTAATTTTTCTCATATAATTCTTAGAAAGCTTTTGTAATGTTTAGCTTACATGATTAAGATCAAGTTGACTGATGTAACAACGAGTGCTCCTGCGAATGTTCACTCAACAAACACACCAAAACCAGAAGCTGATGAATCTGTTAGTGCTTCCATACTTACTCCTTCAGATTGGAGAATGCCATCTCCAGAAGAGAAAACTGAAGGTATGGATTAGGATTTAAGATGAGTTTTATAGACATTTTTTCTTTCCATATTCTACTAAGTCAACTATTATTCCAGTTGATTCAGGTCTAAAATATCATAATTTGTTTGCTGATGATGATCATATTGTGAAAGCTAAACCGAAGTCTGCAAACAAATTATGTAAACAAAGTAGAGCATTCATGAAACCTACTGCTAGCCATTTAGCCAAGCAGATTAACTCGGTAGATATACAAACTCATAGTGGATGTGACACTGAAGACACCAAAAGACAGAAGTTAGAGATTGGATTCTTGCGTAAGGTGGACTTGCTTGGACATAATATCTATTATTTCAGAAACTTTTGTTTTTATATATTATGAATATAATATAATTATCATGCATAGAAACATATAATTTATTTTCGTCTTGCAAATAGGTTGCACAACTGAAGCACCAGACCCCTTTTTCACACAAGATGACTGCAAAGGTAAAGCACTTTTTTTACCTTGTTTCTTTTCCCCCCTATTAAGTCATGTATGGATAAAATAATCGTCCTTTATCCTTACATTCCAAAAAACAAATTTCATAATATTCATCAATTTTAACGAAAAAGAAAAAGAGCAATTTTGTAAAAAAGTACTATTTTAATACATTAAACCGGGTTTTTTTTGGCTTAACCCATTAAATTCCGAATTTAGTCAAAAAGATACACCGGTGTATATGTGTCCAGATTAAATGTTTAATCAACTCATTAAGCTAATTAAGTCCAATATTGTATACATAAGCGTCGTTTCTTTTTTGGACCGAATGAACTAAATAAATGACCATTTTACCTTTGTGTGTAAAAGTGATTGAATAAGAAATGATTGTTTATGTAAAGAATTGTGCATATTGTTGGTGTTGACAGGCTTCACAGTTGGAGGCCAGCTCAAACACTCGATCTAAAACCACCATCCCTAGAAAACCTAAATTGATGACAGAAGAGAGAGCTCGAAGGCGTAGGTAATTAATTGATTGTTAGTAATTTTAATTTTTTTACTAATAATCTAACAATGGCTAATTCCGGTTTATATTATCTTTTTACTAGGTTTAGGTCCCAGAGTGAACCTGAAGCGAATATTTATACTTTTAAAGCACTACCATTGAATAGAAAAGTGGGTATTCACTTTTTTAGCATGCTTGTATTTGTTTTGAAAATGAATTTTAAGCATTTATCTTTTGGCAGATACTTGAGTCACCTACATTGCCAATTCGTAAGAAGAGCATGCCTCATAATGTAAGCTTTTAAACATATGGATAGACGTTTTCTAATGACTAATACAACTATTGCGTTCTCATATGTTAAATACAGTAACTAATAATTTCTTGATTTTCAGGTAGCTTTTAAAGATATGGACACACACAACTATTGAGTGAAGAAGATATGGCTTCAAAAAGGTCAAACTCCTTTTCATCGGTGACCAATTTAATGTAGGCCGCCAAGGCAAGTCTAACAACACTACTTTCATTGCCAAATCATTCAATACGCAAATGGATCAATAGAGGATTTTTGCGAGTGAGAAGGAAGGAATCAAGTTAAAACTTATATATGTACAATTTTCTTTTTAGATAGATACCCACCCATTAAGCAATCAATCAAAAGACTCAGTCGGTGATGAAAAGTTTGTTACGACTGAATGAGAGACAGTGTAGTGTTATAACTGAAACTGAAAAGATGTCATCAAAATTGAGTATTAATATGGTATTTTGAAACAAATCCTCCTTCCTAGTTCCTACACACATCACATCACATGATTGCACATATATTACAGAAAGACAAAAAACCCCTATACCATATATGTACACATCAACTAATCAATATTCCTTAATCCTTCATTCCTAAGTTAGCCGCCAACATATACCCCCTACCAACTCTCAATGAAAGGGTGCAACAGAAAACAGAAAACCAAACTTTGTTGCACCCTTACAACTAAACAAACATGTCTGTCATAACACTCTGTCTCGTTGTTGTTCAATCATTTTGCTATGTGTTTCAATCACAGACGTTTTCTCCTGCAGCACCAAAACACACACACACACACACACACTATAATACCACTTCAATAAACAGACCCAAAACCAAAACATAATATAGGCCCTTTAGGTGATTTGTACACAATGAATAGTTAGAGAGAGAGAGAGAGAGTGACCTCAGGTAGTAGTGGGGTGGTGTCTTGAGGAAACCAATGCATCAAAACTCCCAAGTGCATCACAGCAGGTATCAATTTGAAAAGTACAGGGGTTGTCACCAGACTCAGAGCAGTTGTTCCAAGAAGAAGAAGGTACATCTTTCCCTAAAACGACAAAAAATTAAGTATTTAGCACATCTAGGCCAACATCAGATCATCAAACATAAGTCATGCACAATTATTAATTCCAACCTCAACTAGATGTAGATTAGAGGCACGACTCAATAGAACAAAAGCAAACTCTCCAATTTGAGCAAGCATAATTCCAACCTACACAAAAAGAATAACATGCATGTTCAAACAACCCAACAAATTGATTTTGGTTTGTTCAAAATCTGATACAAACTTACAAGAAATGATGTCTTAACACTATATCCAAAGGCCTTTGTAATGACTGCAGAAACTGTAGTCTTAACAACTATAACCAGAATAACAGATGCTAGTAATATATCCACATGTGTCCACAAGAACTGTACATGTATAAGCATCCCAATGCTAGATAGAAATAAAGCTGCAAATAAGTTTCGAATTGGCTCCACCTACAACAAGTATGTGCGTGTCATTACTCTACTCATTGTTATAACTTCTATAAGTTCCAACAAATTGAATGGATAGATTACCTGATCTAACGTATGTTGTGCAAAATCAGTTGTGGAAATCATAACACCAGCCACAAAAGACCCCAGCTCAAGACTTAGCCCTAATTTATCGCTACACTGAAAAATATTAAAATAAAAATTTGTTTTAATAATGACTTATAGTTTTTTTCTTTAAAAAAAAAAAAGCATTGGTAATATGACGAGATCATTTCATTTAACCTACCCAAGCGGATAATAAGCAAAAAGCAACTGCAGCTAGCTGGTAGAGTTCATTTGTCTGAATTATAAAAATAAATAAAGGGAATTAAGAAAAAAAAATTCTTTAGTTAACTTAAGAATTAAAAAGAAAATTGAAAATAGGAATAACAACTCACTTGAGATGACAGTTGCACCATCAGCTTGAGAAACCGTGGCATGAATGACCATGTTAAAAGTGATGCACCAAACAGATATGTTGACAAAGTCATCAGCCTGAGGTAATAAATAAATAAATAAAAAGTGAAATGTTTGTTACTGCAAACACCATTAACAATAATAAATAATAAATAAAAAGTCAAAATGGAAGACTTACACTTTTCCCATTGAGGCCATCCCCTGCAAAACCCCACTGTTGCCACCCAAAACTGGCAGTAAGGCAAATAGTAAGCCAACAGCACAATCCTGGAAAATATCAAACAAGATTAAAAAAAAAAATGTAACACAAGTCACAAGCATTTCTTTGTTTTTGACTATGTAAACTAATTACCTGAAAAATGAGTGTCCCTATAGTGACTTGACCATGAAGAGCATTATTACTGTTTTTCTCAACCAAAAATTTCACCACCTGTATAGAAGGAAAAAGTAAATAAAATAATCTCACTGTAACAAACTAGAAGTTAAAAAGACTAGAAAAACATTTAGGTAACTAACCACTGCAGTTGATGACATTGACAGGAAGCAACCAACAAAAACACCCTCTGACAGCCCTGCTCCACATAACTGTAACCCATCATTAAATTAAGAAAATAATCATTCACTTAACTGAAACCATGTAACATTAACATATATCTGTTTATTTATTGTAAATAAGAAGTTGAAAAGTACCACAGCCAATGTTCCACACAAAAACATAAGAATAAGTATTTGAAGTAATCCTCCAAGAACAGCTACAGGGCCCACAGCTTTTAGCTGCATTAAGAACAAAAAAGGTCAGATTTACAACATGATGAAGGAACAGAAAGTTTTGACTAATTATTAAATGAAGCATCTGGAAAGAATAAAGTAAAACCTTTTGCATAGAAAACTCGAGTCCTAGAGCAAATAAAAGAAACACCACACCAAACTGTGCAAATGTCTCAACCTGTGATCATTTATGTAAAAGATTATTAATCTTGAAAATTGGAATAATTAATGCAAGTATAAAAATTACATATTCTGTAATATCAAAGTCACAACATACCTGAACCATCTCGCTTACAAATTTCAACCCACCAGGTCCAATCAGGGAGCCTGCAAGAAGATACCCGACAATAACCTAGCAAAAAAAATTAAGTTTAAAGAACTTTTAATATAAACTATAAATATTTATAAAGCTTAGAACAAATAAATACAAACCGGTTGTCCCAAGCAAGAACAGATAATTCCACCAATAGCAGCAGAAACAATGATCACAACCAAATCTGAAATCAGTCTATAGACATGGAACATGAAAAACACGAGTTAATTTACTATAAAAATTATGAATTTCAAGCATAGGTGATAGGATCACCAGCTTTTCATCAAAAAATACCTGAAACTCTAGTGAATCATGTAAAAACAAATATCTGAAACATACAAAAGATCTGACCTTACATCTACTTGAAGTATTGGATATTTAGATTTCTTGTTTGATATTACAAACACATTGTCCTGCAATTATATTCAAAGCATATATAAGAATGTGCCAAAAAGTACCACACCAACATCAATATAAGAAGATCATGTTGTACAGTCAGTTACCTGTTTGTCTATCAGTGTCTGTGTGCCATCATCTTCACTATCAAGAAAAAGAATGTGTATAATCCAATTTAGTAGGAATCATTGACAAATGACATTCAGATACACAGTAGGCCTGTTAAGATACTTACGTTGTTTCTTGAGTGTCATTTTTGTTAGTCTTCTCATGTGTGATTTTAGCTACAGTCTCAAGTACAGCCTGCAAAAGGTCATGTGAAGAATGTCATTTGTTGTACTACTATCTTTGAGCTTTTTCCAGAAAAAATTCTTACTTCTTGATCAGTCACGCTGTTATTAAAGCTGCTTCTAGTGGAACCTGATATTATATGAAGTAAATGGTGTGAGATACACACTAGGCAACAGAAAACATTTTAATCTAACAGACTCGTCATCAACTGAAAGTATTGTAACCAGATCTTTACAGATGCATTTCGGAGGTAGTAGGTTTAACACAAAGGTCGAATTGTAACAAAATTTCTAAATATAAGGAACACTTAATTGGCCATGATGTTGGTAATAAAGTTGTGAAGATTGGAAAGCATTGGGTGTATTACAAGAGAGTCATGACATTTGAAGAACTGAATCAACTTGTTAGACTTCAAATACTCATCTTGTTAACATGGAGTACCAAAAGAAAAGAGAAGATCAAGCAATAGAAGAGATCGGAGAAACTCATTTACCATCTGTGGACTCATTCTCTGAGAATTCCTTCTCTAAGACGCGATCAAATATCTTTGCGATGCTGGCCTCGCCGGAATCCGGCGCCGACGAATTAACTAAAGTTCCGTAAAATCTTTCCCTAGTCTCCTGATCAGATCTCGCGGATACTAAGATCCTTCCGCAAAACGCGATGATTATCAATACGGATAAAACACAAGGAAATCGGCCATCCCGTTTTGCGAAAACCCTCGCCATTGAAGCAGATTTCAGAGGAAATCAACAAGATTCATGTAAAAAGAGAAACTCAATCCCTAGTCAGGATTAACCTATGAAAATTCAAAGTCAAAAAGATTCCAGAAGGAAGAGAATCGTTTACGTAAAATGATGGCGAAAGAAATGGGGTTCGTTGCGATGATGATATAAAAATCGGCGATTGAAAGATTTATTCAGGCGGGATGGATCGTTACATAAACTATCCCACTACTGTCCGTTTGTTACATAATCTATCCCCATATTTAAGGAAACTACAGATAGTACCCTGTTGTGGTGCACACAACTTTGGAAAGATATTGGAATTTGATCAAACCTTCGAGGATAGATTATGTAATTTTACCCTGTTTCCAAATTCTATATTCAATTATTTATCCATCTGTACCTAAGCTTTTATACGAAACAGCTTCTAGCTAGAAAAACCTTTAAGACTTTAAGTTGTATGCAGGAATGTGGCATGCTCTCACATACGAAGAGTTTGCTGAAAACACAAATAAAGTATTTGCAGACAACATTAGTTGGATTGATAAGAGAATTTTAAGTGGCAACTCGTGATTGGAGAGAAAACAAAAGCATGTAATGATGAGTATGATGGTCCAAATAAAAAAGGGTGTCATAAATTAACCACGAAAATATCGTACTTCTCAATTCTACTTGTTTTGTGAATTCGCAAATATGAAGACGTGTATTATAATTTGTATACTACATGTTATTACAAAAGTGGTTTAATATTATTTTTTCACAACAACTTTTATATTATTTATCTCATGTCAATATCCTACTGTGATGACTCTTCCAAGAGTGTTCGACTAACAACATACAATGATGCAAATGTTGATTTGATTCATTAGGACTCACCTTTGCCAATAGAAAGATATAAAAATATATAAATGCATTTAAGAAAAATTACGTTGCATAGTCACATATCATTAGTAAGTTGATATAATGGTGATTGGAGACCAAGATAATTAAGACGAAGGCAAGTACACCCTTGATTAACTAATTTTAATATCTTTGGCATCTTGTGTTTTTAGGCTTTGTTTGGTTATAATTAGTTGTTTTGAGTTTTTGAATTTCATAACTATTTAAGTAATTAGTAGATAAATTACCAAAGTAATATTTTTTATGAGAAAATAAGAAGATTTTTATGAAGTGTGAGTAAAACTCAAATTAGGTTGTCGTTCTAAAAAAACCCAAATTAGGTAAAGACGTGTTGGCAAAACTAGTTGATAGCAAGTAGCGTTTGATTGCGGAGCGTTTTGTTGAAAACTTTTTCTATAGCTTTTGGTTTGGAGCGTTTTGTTTAGTCTAAAAGTTAAATGCTCCTGTCGCCGAACACTTAATATATATATATATATATATATATATATATATATATATATATGATTAGTTTATTGTATTCTAATTAATTATTGTGTGGATGTAGCAATGATTATGGACCAATCATTTTAGCTAATTTAAGAAAGACATTTATCCATATTATTAAATTAAAAAAAATAGAATAATACCACTTAATTAAAAGAAGGGTAAAAATGTACATTTCCATCGCTTTCAAATTAGGAAACATAAATTTAAAAAAGAAATTTTCGGATTTCAATGGATTTTTGATTATCTTAATTTGACTTCTGTTTTTTTTTAATTAATTCAGTTTTAATTATGTCATAATGTTATTCTTTTAGAATGATGTTCTATTAGAATATTAATGAAGAATAATAAAATTCTTGAACCTGAATTTGAATAATAACAACATTCTAATATATTCATACACATTCGAACGTAAATACAAATTCATATATATTTTTACAGACTGATACATTTCAATATAATTGTACATATTCTAACAAAATGTCATCAAAATGAATAAAATTCTTAAGAATAGCATTCTTAAGCATATAATTATTGAACAAATACACTTACTTTTTTTCAATGGTCAAAATAATCGATTTGTTTACACTTAATCTTCTTCAATGTAACTTGTTATTGAACTCAATCTCAAGTCTTTCTCTTGTATGATCAATCATTGATTCCTTCTTTAAGTCATTCTGAAAGAATATCTCTAAATATTATTAAAAGAGAAACCTTATGACATCATTTTAAACAATCTGGGTCATTGATTGTATTTCAATCCTATGTTTTCTACCCTTAGATCAAATTGATGACATCATCTTCCCCAAATGGAATATATATAATTCCAATAAAATCTTCCCATATTTTAAATCTTGAATTTCCGGTTATAAAGATTTTAATATGATCAACTTTAGAAACTTATTAGTAACAAGTCATTTCAATTAAGGCATTAATATCAACCATTAATATAAATCTGTTTATATTAATAAACAATTAATATAAAATCTATTTTTATTAGGAAACCATTAATACCAAAAAATTAGATTCAAATTATCACATACATATACGATTCATCATTGAATTTGCGGCTCGCACTTATTTTCAATCGTTGCTTTTCTTCAAACCTTCTCCTACAACATCATTTTTATTGTTTATAACTTTCATCATCATTCTCTGCTTCAAACTTCCGTTGTTGTACAGTAGAAGATTAGTACATTTTTTTCGCTTTTTATATTTTTTTTTCTATTATTTTTTTGTACCTATATCAAATATATGTATTCATATATTTCGATTTTTGTTGTCACAAATTACATGAAATCGATTAACTACTTTTTTGAAACTTTTGAAATAAACAGGAAAATATATATGTACCTTTAACAAAACAGAAATTAACTATCTTTGGAATTGACACTAATTAGAAAAATGTTATTTTTATATATTAGAGATGATTATGATTTTTTTTTAATTATTATGTCATAAGAATCCGGTTAATTTTGGTATGATTTTAAAATATTTTGGTATGATCCTATATCTTAGGGCCAACATGACCATCGGCGGTGGCTTTAGAAAGCACTCTTTGCTGTTTAGTTCAAGGTTATACTTATAATTGTAGTTATAGACTTATCCAAGTGGGAGACTGTTGGATTAATGTGTTTAAGCTCATAATTAAATTAATATCTTCTTGTAATTAGAAGCAAATTCCTTTTTGGGTTGCCCTTATGACCAGAATTAGCTAGAAATGATATTAGGAGAGAGAAGTATAATTTATTAGATTAATATATGATTAATAAGATAATTGGAAATGGGGAAATGGTTTGTTAATATATTATGTGAATAATATATTAATTGGAAAAAGAAATTTGATTTGTTAATTTATTATGTGATTAATAAATTAATATGACATCAATTGTTAAATAATTGATATGTTAATTTATATGATTAATAAATTAATGTGAAATCAGTTATAATTGATTAATTATTAATCAGAATTAATATGTAATTAATTCGGGATTAATTGGAACTAATTAAAGGTGCAAGTGGTGAATTTTAATTGTTCAATAGTTGATCAAAATAAGCAATTCTAGAACCCTCCATGGTATGGACAATTTGGAGGGTTTCCTAGGGTTTCTAGAAGCCTCTTGGTTGCATAAAAGGAAATGATTTGAATTAAGATTAAATATATTATTTAATTAATTCAAATCTTGTTTTGCGTGCAAGTTACCTAAACTATAATTAAGACCCCTTGGCTTGCAAATTCGTTGGCCAAATTACCTATAAGCATAGGAATACAATTTCCCTCATATCTCATATTTCTTCCTCATTTTAGGGTTTCTGGTTTTAGGTGTGAGCCATTAGAGACATCATCCTTTTGGTGCTAGCTTTCCAAGATCAACAAATACAATGGATTGAAGTGATTTGTTTACTACAACAAATCAAAAGTATGTAACCCTAATCATATGTATATTTCGATTATAATGGGTTTCCCTTAGGGTTCTTGATGTTCATAGTTTATTGCTATCAATTAGAGAAAACATAGATCCTTATAAGTTGCATGTGAACGGAAATATTAAGATTTTCCGCTTTACATGTTTTTGATAATCTATAAAAACCCATAAAAAACAACCCACAACTTTTAACCCTCCCAACCCATTAAGGAGGGTGTGGTGTCTTGGAGGTACCAGAGGTACCTCTCCATCTTTTTGTCGTGACTCCGTCCCCCGTTATAAGGATGTGTGGATATCTTTGTTCCCTTAACCACCAATTTCATCGTACTTTGTTCCAATGATTTGTTACTTATTTGGGGTGTCGTTCTAAAAAGATATATAACTTCCATTAAATCATCTTTTAGGATTACTCTGGATTTTGATAAGAATTTAATTACAAAGACACAATTAAAATTCTTGTTAGTTTGTTTGTAAGTTTAATCATTATGATATTTATGTCATCAAAGCGTTTCATAAAGTATAAACGTTCTTATATGCAACATAAATATCAAATTTTCATTGTTATTCATCATCATCATGTAAAATTACTCTTATTTAATAAATAACAAATGTATTTTCCATATATTTACTTAGTTAGACAACAAATACAATGATAGCCACAAGGTTTTTTAGTTGGAATCCTCCACTGATTTAGTTGGAATCCTCCAATAATAGCCACACAGTTTTTTAGTTGGAAATAAAAACTTTGCAAGCCTTGCAACAATTAAAAGACATGGTATAACATGACTTTTAAATTGGAACACGTGACATTTGGAAGAGAGAATGAGCACCCTGTAAAGTTATACCAAACGTTAACTAAAATAAATATATCTAAAATGTATGAAATTATATATATATATATATATATATATATATATATATATATATATATATATATAACCATAAAAAGTTAAGAACCATAAGAACCACCTTTTTACATATTTGATCAATCTTATCTCACAAGACAACTTTTCTCTCATCTCTCTCTCTCTCTTACATCCTACCGTTGCCGACCACCACCATCGTCGGCATCACCGCCGACACCGTCGCCGTCGCCGAAATACAACGATCTTCATATCTGGAGCCGCCGCCTTCATATCTGAAGCATTCACCTTCAAATCTGGTGCATTCACCTTCAGATCTAGAACCACCGACTTCAGATCTGCCATCAACACCGAGCACCGCCACCTTCCACCGTTATCTATCTCACCAGTACCAACTATCGCCTTCCATCATCCGCTTTTCTTTGCTGGAACACCTAGAAAAACATTACACTCTATTTTGAAGTCTGAATATGCTTCTTCTCCAAATCTCCAACGTTTCAGATCTGATGAAGCACG